GGGTCACGGGGGTCACTGGTGCCCATGTCCAGCGATCACTGTGCGAGGGGCGGGGTACACCCTGGACGGGTCGCAAGTCCATCACAGGGCCACATAGAGACAAACGAGACAAACAACCATTCACACTCTCACACCTAGGGACAATTTAGAGTTACCAATCAGCCTAACATGCATGTTTTTGGTCTGTGGGAGGAAACCGGAGTACTCGGAGAAAACCCACGCATGCACGGAGAGAACATGCAAACTCCACCCAGAAAGGCCCCTGGACCGGGGTTTGAACCAAGGACCTGCTCGCTGAGAGGCAGCAGCTCTACCAGTTGCGCCACCATGCTGCCCACTTCAACAACTATTTATTCTAAATGAGTTCCTTTTGCTAACAATCTAAAGTGCATTCCTATTTTTACAAATGTTACACATCCCCCTCCCTGGGTCTCACTTCTATCTCTGCGTACACCAGTATATCCTCTAATAACAAAGTCTAAAGTTGGTTTGAGCCAAGTTTCCTGAATACATATTATGTCTGGTTTTTTGCTAAGATTTTTAATGAAGCCTTTAAATTCTTGTCCATTTGCGATTAAACTTCGAGCGTTCCACTGTAGAATAATCAGAGTGCCCCCTCTCCTGATGTCCCTGACTTCCCGTTTCCTCTCAGTTCTTTGTTAATGTGCTCCCATGAAATGTCTTTTATACCAAAACATTTCTCTGCTCCTTTAACTATTATTTTCATTTTCTTTGTTTTGTACTTTACCTGGTCTGCACAGTTAATCACATACACAATGAATAACATGATCCTCTCCACTGTAATTGTAGGTTCAGGTCTCTCTTTTGGTAACTGGGATGTTGGGTTTTGTTGTACAATCATCTCTCTCTATCCAGTTTGTTCTTGAACTTTTTTCACAGCTTCATCATAGCTGATATTATTGACTGTTTTCATTTGCTCCACTTTAATGGCATTTTTTCTAACTTCACATCCTCCAAAAGTCACTCGATGCTTTCTCCCACAATTACAAAATTTATCTTGGGCATTGTCACCACACTCCTCATATCTGTGATCACCCCCACATTTTGGACACCTTTGCCGTCCCTTACACACAGCTGCAATGTGTCCATATCTTTGACACTTATAACACCTGAGTGGGGGAGGGACATAAGGCCTGACTGGAAAGCTCATGAACCCGATCTTAACCTTCTCTGGAAGTACATTATTTTGAAATTCAATCTTTATCGACAGGCTTTCAGTTCTTTCTCCATTTATTGTTCTTAATAATCTTTTGATCTGATTCACCTCTGCAACCTGAATGCTCTTTTTAAGCTTTTCTTGTAGGGATGGTACTTTTCTGTGGTCCGGTTTGTGTCTGTGTTCCCTCATGCTCCCTCATTAGTTCCATTGTTACCACCCGTGTCTCGTCCCAGCTGTCTGTAATCATGTCTCGTCTTGTCTCTGTATATAAGCCGTCTGTTCTGTCTTGTTCGTCGTCCTCGTTGGGTCTTCTGTGTCTTCCCCTGAGTCTTCCTGGTTCCTCGAGTCCCCCGTGTCTCCTGAGTCCTCCTGAGTTTCCCGTGCCTCCTTCCTATGTTCATGTAAGTTTTGCTGCCCCGTCAGCTTGTTACTTTGTACTTTCATTTATCATTAAATTCCTATTTTTATAACTCTGCCGAGTTGAGTCCCTGTTCTGCACTCTGGGTTCGCTCCTGACCACAAATCCTAACATTTCCAGATTTTCATTTACTGATATTCCTGTTATCACGCCCCTCGTTACTTTCTTCTCTCCTAAAATCCTTTTTTCTCTCACATTTTTTTTACAAATACTTTCAATATTCAGTGCTTTATTTTTCTGTTCTTCAGTTTTACAAATGACCAGTATACTCCCATCTCTAAGTGTTTTTGCAAAAGAAATATCTCCAATCTTCTTTTTGAGTTCTTTTGATAATACAATTGGACCCAGCTGTATGTTGTTTTCTTCTTTAAATTTCAGAATAACTTTTTTCCTCTTTAACAATCTTTTTGGGGACCACAGGTGTCCCTTCATCTGAACTATTTTCTTCCAAAGTCTTTTTACTAACCTGTGTCCCTTCCAAACATTAATTTTCTCGCCCGATTCTTCCTCTTCTTCCACTAACAACTTGACTCCAATCATTTAAATCCATATCCTCATCATCTTCCTCAACTTGAGCTGCCATTCTGGCCCAGTCACAAACCAGTTTATGCCAAACCGCTCGTTTCTTTTCTTCCAATACTCTTTCTTCAATGAAAAATCAGCCACTTTCTTCAAACGTTCTCACCCACTTCCAGCGACGTCAAGCAGCTAAATCCTCTCCTGGCACCAGCTCTAGAAGTGATGGCAGGCGGCCGCTGGTAAATCCGTTTTTAAGAAGCAAAGTCGATATTCAATCATGGCGTGCGCCGGTACAGAAATTATGCCGAGCAGACACAGCATACACCGTGGAAGGATAAAGCCTGGATACCAAAGGAGTGAAAAAACACAGTACTGACACTAATGAGACAGTGAGGAGCACCTGGGGTGATTAGAATAAGGATCAGTTGTGGATGATGACATGGAAAACAGAGGTGCAGAAACAGAGAAACAGCAACAGAACCATGTCAGTCTGAACTCCTGCTACATTTCAGACATAATAAATAAAAAAAAGCTTACTGTAAAAAATAAATTAAAAATACAAAGAGAGAAATGCTTGATGTGTTATTCACATTATACGTCACATTTCAAAACAACGGCGCTAATTTGTCCAAATAACAACAGTGATCAAAATGTCAAAAAGACAGTCCAATTTACTTTAATAAAAAATGGAAAATGGATGGATGGATGGATGGATGGATGGATGGATGGATGGATGGATG